GTTAGGTTTTTGTAAGCACATATATGTATACTTTTTTATGTTCTATGCTCGACAAAATTAAAACAAAATTGTTTTTTAACAATTTAAATACCTTGTATACTAACATGTTATTAGATTGAACACTAAAAATTAATTATTATTCAAATTCGTGCAATCATAAAAAATAGTATATTATATAACCATTGAATCGTAATAAATTATAGTTAATTAACAGTGCATGAAGGCTGTGTGGTTTTTACTTTTTTTACCGTCAATATTCTAATAAATTCATATTAAATGCATTATATATATGTAGGCTTAATAGTGACGGTTAACCCTTAAAATATAAAATAAATAACTGATTTGGTGTTATGTTACCTAGAAAATTATATTTTTATTTATTACTTTAATACAATTTAATTTTTAGAATGCGGGATTCGGGCCAAGGTTTGAATTATGTTTTTTTAAGATTTAAAACTGTATATTATTATGTTTAAACTTTTGAACGTGTAATAATAATGTTGAATACGTTAAAAAAAAACTTGTTTGAGAAATCAACGACGCAGAATTATTTTGCCCGGATTGATTTTTATGAAAAATGCAAATATCGATAAAAGTTAATTAATTTTTTTGCCATCAATTCCGATATTTCGTTGGTATATTATGCGTCATATAATATACATATAATTATGTATAATAGGCGTGTTTAAAACTATTTTTGGTTGTACTAAATAATAATATGGTAATCCTCAAGTAAAGTTTATTATATTATACCTGCAGCATATAATATAGTAGCAGTGGACGTTATTTGCTTGGAAATATAACTAATTACTGTTTATCATTGTTGTATAATAACCACTACTCACTAGAACTTAGAATCTTAATTATTGTATTAAATAAAAAAGAATAAATAATACATCTACCTGAATTATGCGATTACTGTCTAAATTAGTGCGAATTAATTATTTTATTTGTATGATATCATTGTTCATTGTTCATACAAATATCCGATATATATGTAATAACTGTAATAATATTATCCTTTTTTGTAAATCATTTGAGTATTTCATTCTTCATTTCATTATGGCTTTATAATATAATCGGTTTCATTTATTTCGTGTATGTAATTTCTAACTATGTATATATCATATTCAACGTACAAAATTGTAAATTTTAATATTGTTGTCCAAATAGTAGTATAGCTGTTTTTATTTTGGCCATTGACCAACATTTTAGTATAATAAGAACAAAATATAATACTTAATAATATATAATAACGAATCATATAACATAGGACGTTTTAATGCGCTACACATTATTTATCATTTCAAAACAATATTTAGTTGTAAGCGTCTAAAAAATATTTTATTGTAGTTACTTATCGCTGTTTGTGATAAAATATTCAAATATATTATTACAACCATTAATAATTAGGTGTAGGATTTTATAGCACTTCAAAATATATAAAAAATTTTAATATTATATAAGACCATAAAAATCGTGATACGCCATAAAAACGACAAAATATTCACAAAAAAAAAATCGTCGACTGATGAGTGTTGTCTAAAAGTTTTATAGTTTTGTAACTAGTGACGAGAAGATAAAAAGTGGACTGTAAAATGTGATATAAATATTATATACATGTTACTTATAAATAAGTTGAAAAAATACATTATGAGTAATATTATATAGTTGATAAGGATGAAAATAAAAACATAGTAGTTTTACATAATATAGAAACTAAATATAAAATAGTACAATCATGAAATGATATTTTAAATTTAATTTTTTGTACCTTAAACATTTTTTTTTTCACTCTGACATATGGGGGTAAATAAAAATGAAAGCAAATATAGTAACAGTTTATCTTATTTTTTATTATCTGAAAGACCGCGAAATAGGCAATAAGACTGCCGAGAAAACAGAGGGAAAAATATACAATCCAGCAGCGTATTTTTTATATTACACAGAATGTTTGTATACGCGTGCCCGATATTAACTCTTCTTTTTATTGATATAATCGAAATCCTAATTATTTTTTATTCTACATATTATAATATACTATAATGCTATTATTACTATGTATAGTGATAGAGCCATAGTTACTGTAATTCATAGAGTATTCCGGTTTATTTAAATTTGAAATGAATAAGTTATTTTTCATAATTTTTTTACTCAACCTAATAGAAATCTTTTAATGAAAATCCGAAATTACTAATCGTTATTATGTCTATTTTTATATAATGTTGTTTATGTAATATATTTATCAGGTGGGGGCTATAAAGTTAAGGCACTGTAGAATTGTTGTGTATGTGTGTGTGTGTCGTATAAATTTATCCGACTCTGTCATTTTGTATTTATGTATATTGTATATATACGCGCGAAACGTGCCGTTGAAATCCGTGTGGAATGAAAAAAAAATAATGTATTCGCTGCAGTTTCCCTGCGAACGAATAGGCTATTTACAATGCGACACAGCCAGTAGGTATATGTTTAATGTGTACACGTCACACGCACGTGTAGGTTTATTGTATGTGTATGTGTGTGTGTGTACAGTCGATTCCAATATCATACATTTATATGTATGCACAATTTACTGTCGTACTTATGCCGTCACTACCGTTCATAACGTGTGTAGGTATGGACTTCGAGAGGGACGGATCACGTTTAAAACGTGCATAAGAAATTGGCGTCTGAAACATAATATTATTTATTATTATTATTTTCAATATCAAACTATATAATATATATATATATAATTTCGATCGATCATTCTTGTCCGTTTGCGCAGTTATGGCATAAAATATATATTATAATAAAATAATATTGTTAAAAATAATGCTTTTGAAATATGAACCTATTAATACATCGAGTGAAATTACCACAGTAATGTTTATTGCTTTTTTTGTTTTGACTTATCGGTGACTATCTTATCACGAGAATTCAAAAGTTTTAGTCGTAGTACGCCTGGATCACACAGCCGCACATATTTCTTGTAATCTTGTAATAAGAGTTAAATATAATTTACATATTATATAAAAATATAAAAAGGACACGCTAACCTTGTAGAAGGTTTATTTTTATTTAATTGTTATATTATGATTATCAACATTATTATTAATTAATTTTTTTTTTTGTAGTTTTTAGCTTCGTGTTCAGATATAAAATATTTTTCTAATTCCATTAATTGTGATGAAAAAAAATATGTTATTATTATCTATACTTAAAAAATCCAAATACCTCACTTACTGATCGCTCTATCTCGAAAACTACTTAACCTACGAACTTGAAATTTGGAATAATGGTTCCTCTAATACTTTCACCATATATTTTATCATGAGAAAGGATTTAAAACAATTTTGTGTTTAAGTGGACTAATTAATAAATTCGTTAATTAATTTTGTGCGGCGTGGCGGCCAGCCGCGCTAGTTCCAGCTACCTGCAACCTATACCTATACCGGCCATGCGGCGTGTAGATATGAATTATTCTGAGAAATGTATAGACAAAAACACACACGGGCGAAGCCGGGTTAATAAAAAAAAATTATAAATTTTATTTTATATAAATGAACTTCTATCAAAAAACGAGATTACACATTATTTTCTTCATAAATCTAAATGCAACGCGATAAACGTGTGCACTATACAGAGTAAAGTTGATTGATGAGAAAAAGTTTTTAAGCGCTCTGAGTGCTGCGACCCTGCATTGTTTGTCTGAATTCGGCTCGCAAAGTTTATTCCGTAATACACAATACTCACTTTTTCCTTTTCAATGGCACTAATAATAATCATTATTATATTTATATGCGTTTATGTATAGTGCTTAACAATGACAATAAATATGCATAAATAACAATATATACGTCCTTGCGCATGTGTTCGCGTGTGAGCTCACAAGTGTGTGTGCTCCTATATGCCATTTACCTACACCTACGCACTGCGTATATTATAATACACAAATGGGTGAGTTATTCTTTGTCGTATACATTTTCAAAACATAAATTATTATTAAATCGATGAATCAGTAACCGTCGTTGATCGGTTAGTTATGTAGAATAACAATTTTTTAATATACTTAATTATATTAATAATAAACCGTTTTGATAATAAACAATTAATTTTGAGCATTAAAGCAGCTATAGATTCATTTGTACGGTGTATTTGTACCTGTTCTGCGAGTAAATGCAGTATTAAATGTAACTTTATTACACCTCCCATAAACCTTTTAATTTGAATGTATTAGAACCATATTGGTTTATAAAATATCGTTTTGACCGGCTCCTGTTCTTACCTTTTTCTTTCTCATTTTATCCTTTAATGCCACCTTGATTGAAATTTTCATTTTTTGTTAGTCAATGTGTATACTTAATAATAGTGTACGTATTATATTCACATAATATAATATCATCGTTATCTACACAATATTCTTTTCATCAAAAATTCTCTAAGTCTATTCCCCTTCTTCCCTTCTTACACTTATTAATATAAATAAATCAATTCGAAACACTAACAATTATTCTTATTTTTTTTCTATCACAATGCTCAACCTGTTACTTGAGAAATAAGACTTTCCAGGATGATCGCTTATAAAGATCCGTCATTTTTCTTTTGAATATGTACCTAATATATTTTACTTAGATTTTTGTTATGTACTCATATTATGCCTTCGTATAATGTTGGGCCCTTACTCGTAGTTATTTAAATAAATAAATAAGTATGGAAGTACGAGACTATTAATGTTATTATACATAGATATATATTTTAATTTCGAAAAGACATTGTTGTAGAATATTATCGGTCAAAATATCGTTCAACGTTCAGTGAAAGGAATCCTAAAAATATATAATACCTATATAAGGCAGTAAATCGCCGAACACACGGTTCGTTCGTAGTTGAACACCATCATACGACGTAAAGTGACACGATGACATTTAAAAACCAGCACGTGAGTCGTCGACAATCGTGTATGCTGCACCTATTCACGGCGTACGGATCGACGATGTTAAAATATATCCGGTCGATCACTGCGGGACAGCCCCTGCTCCGGCCACAAACAACGCTAGAAAGAACAGCGGCCAGGCGACCGGTGTTCCGGCGACGGCGGCGTTGCAATAGTCGCGTTTGCACAGGCATACCATGGAAGTGGCGTTTAGTTCCGGGTCGGTCACGTGGAAGCAACCGGCTCGGTTGACGCCGGTCGGACCGGAACATCCGCGGACCGACAGCATGCCGGTGGCCACGTTCACGCACCACGCGGACAGGCTGGACGGACAGTGGAACACGTACTGCCGGCGCTGTCGTTCGTTGGCGTACGACCAGAACGCACCGCCGTCCATGCGCCGGTCGCTGTAGCACACCAGCCCGCCGCTCTTGTATTTCGGATACATGACCGTCCGGCCACCGCCGCTGCCGGTCGCGGCCGTCATTGCCACGGCGGCGGTTAGCAGTAGCGCCGTTGTGACGGCCGGTGACGGTATGGTGGCCACTGCAACTGTAGCCGGGTCGTTTGATGCTGCGCCTAGGGACACGGCGCGTATTTAAATATTTGTTAGGCACGAACAGTGAATAACGTAATGATTATTATTGTTTTTTCGTCATTGTCGTCGTCGTCGTCAGGGTTGCTGTGCTTACCGGTTTTTGTTTATTTATGTTTCGGAACGAAATTGGGTACTATTGTTTGTTATCGCGACGTAAAAAAAAAAAAGTATCGCCTCACCTGACGACTGCCCGTCAGAATCGGACAATTTTTTTTTTTTTTTATTTGTATATAATATACCGTTATAAAATGTTCAAAAAAGAGTCATCAATAATATAGTTTATAATTAACGGTAATTTTAAATTTCCTAAAAATGCTCAAATACCACATAATTATTGCTTTGACGATGATGTTTTTATTGCAAAAATTGAATGTCAATATTAAACATTTCGGGAATAATTCATTAAAATTAATTTTTATCAATATTTTAAAATAGCTTTTTATAATGTTTGTTTAAGATAAGTGTGTACTCAAAATCACATACACAATATAATATATAGCGATAAATCGACAATGTATGTTTATAATAATATAATAAAATACAATGCTTTTTTCAAATATTATGTGAAGTATTTGTACCTTTCTTTAAAGAAATTACATACAAGACTTACTAACACTTAATATTAACTCAACACTATTTAGACATACTACAAAAATATCGATCACGAATATCGATTTTAAGATTTAAGATTACTGGTGTAAGGTTATCTGAAGGATGTACTAATACATTTTATATACGAGACGGTGGTGAGGCGATTATAAATAATAGTAACAAAATTTATTTTGAGCAAGGTATATTTTGTAAATTTTCTTTTGGGCATCACTTGCTTGGGATTATGTATATTCCTACATTTCATATTTTTACGTATATAACAAAAAATATATTTCATGTTTTTAATGCCAATTTGTTTTTGTTTTTATTCATTGTTAATAGTTATATTGGTTCTTTCTATCTAGAAAAGTAGGCCAAAAATGTATATACAAAATAAATGATATGAAAGCATTTATAGCTATGGAGGCAATAAATTAATTTGTTTACAAATAGGACATCTCAAATCCTAAATACGACATTGCTTATAGATAATATTTTTTGATTTTCTCTGATCTTATATCCCTCTTATATACCTATAGTATAATGTTAATCGTTCTAAGGGAAATTTTAAATTTGGTAGTTATAAACGACTGATATAAAACTGAAAATAATTTATTACTGTGTGATTGCTATTTTATTGAGAGATCATACAAACAGGTTTTTGTAGATTTTCTATTAAATATATATATGTATAATATTATTCACTTTCGGTTGTTTAATTAATCGATTAAATTTTATCAACGTTATATGGCAATGGCAGTGTCGCAAATTGATGTGTCTATACGATTTCATTATTGAAATTCGGAAATATTTGAAAAATATACTACTGTAACGTTTGTTATTGAGTCTGTTTGTCGACAAATTGGATAATATTGAGTCTCGCAAATATTTTTAGGCTATCAGAATTGAGTCCAACCAATATTCTTAGGTTATTCGAGTTGAGTCCCTTTTTTAATTGTAATAATAAGTATAAAGTGTCAATTAATTAAAAAATATTAAAAATAATAATAAATAAAGGTACTTTTCATCTAGAAAATATTTTCTATCGACAATCATAGAAAAATACTAAAAAAATTGAAAATTTGTCATACTTGTAAATATTTCAAAAAGAGTTAAAATTTGTTGAAAATATATCATAATATAGATATTGAAAATAATAATTAAGAAATTTCAAGTACATACTTATCTTATTATTTTTGGAAATATAACAAAATATTAAAATTCGTTATCGGCTATGTAGATAATTATGACATTTTATCTTTACTCAATTCAAAGGTATTAAGATAATAAGCTGGATTCAATTCAGTATCACCAGGTAAATTTGGCGTAAACCGTTTTTCTAAGTTATAACGTCGTTCGCTGTAGCATCAATTGACTTTATTTTCCGCCTAATTGTAACGTACGGTTAAAAAACGGTGATGAAATACTAAATAAACAACTGCAGAAGCATGAAATGAGTTCTTGTTACACGGAGTACATTATACACTGCAAATGTTCTTTTAAGGCATCTACAGGATGAATTCTCAACAAGTCAAGTATTATGGTGATTTTAATTTTGATCTCAATTACATATCAACGTTTAATTTAAATTTATATATCATAATCGTAACCTGTGCTTCTTGGCTGGCGCGCGTGTGTATCCTAACCGTTTTTGAATGTAATTTCGGAATAGGATTTATTTTAACTGTTCTGCAGCGTCCGTCTGCCATTTTTAAGAGGTAATTAATAACCATCATAATTTGTAGAATATCAATTATCTTACCTATAATTTTTATTATGCAGTCCACTTATAAATTAATTAATAGTCCACGGTATACCATTCACTAACGCGTTAGAATTTCTACTCCATAAAACGCTTAAAATCCCTCACTACTCTAAACAAACGAACAAACTAATATGTATAAACATATTTGCCTATATATCTTTATACATCTATATCATTCAATAATGCTTACACGTTTGTAAATATTATTTAAATATACAATTATGTTTTCAAATCAATGAAACAATTATTTTAGTATCACATATTATCTATTTATGTATCGATATGTATGTATAACACTATATATAACTCGGGCTCACATTATTTTTAAATTGGTAATTTTACAATTTATTGTTTATACATTTGCATAAACTTTATGTAAATTGGAACGAACATGTCCTTATAAGTTTTAAATTTTAATGTATGTGTATGTTATAACGTTATTAAAGCTAAAAATTAATGTATTTATGAGTTTTATTGATAAAAACGAACTATTTTTATACATTAAATTTAATAAAAATGTAAAGCGGTCTTTGGTATAAACCATGAACACAACAATTATAATAATATGTATTTGTTTAGTAAAAATGTTATGTTTGATTTTTTTTTTTTTTTTAATTATGTGCATAGTCCACTCGTTAACTATATCGTTAAAATATGCTCGCCAATATGTGTTTGAAGACATGTTTCAATGTAATAAATGATTAATTAGTTATTTTTCAATTAAAAATATTGCCACACCAAACGCCCGATGTAAGCATTCCATCAACATTATTATTAATCGACAAAATCAGTATTGTGCAACGGAATTGCGTTGTATGAATACTTATTCGTCTGAACGTTTTTTAAACACTTTTGTATACATGAATACATAAAATTTAATATAATAATGTATTCGTATTATATATAGTCTTACCCCGGGCCCTCATTCGCGTATAATAACGAATATTTATACATTTTAAATATTTAGATTTATCATAAAATGTGTCGGATTCATGTGAGCAGAATAATTCTATTCATCCTAAACAAATATAAGCGTCCCCGGTAAAAAAAAAAAAAAAACAACAAAATAAGTCCAAAAGTCTGTAGGCACATAATAGTAATAATATAGCGATAACAATTTGTGCAACGTTTCGAATTTCTTTTGTTTTCTCAGGTGTTTTCGAATGTATAACAACAATCATGGTTCCCTATCTATTTTTTCTGCCTCTCCCGACTCCCATTGATATATTATGTTAAGTTGTTCGACACAAACGATATGTTATTTTATGGATGTATTGTTATCATTATATCCACGTGTGACAACCGACAATCGCATTTAGGTATATACATAGGTAAGTACATAATATGTGGCATACCCCAATGAGTTCGTTCAGATACGACGAGAGCGTTTGGATGACAGTATATCATTGCATATGTAGTCGTAGGTAAATACCATTGTGGTTTATTATAAATTATAATATTATTAAACCGAAATGTTTTTAATTCTCCGGAATAAAACATATTTTTAAGAACTCATTCGCTGTAAACAGTGTCATTTACGGATTAGTATACACTAAGCTATAGTGATTTTTATTGATATTGTATTTATATAATATTGATATGATATACGAAAAATGAGAAAATACAAGTATACATGTTTTTACGCCGATACAGAAACTACAGAGTTATTTAAAGACATGTTTGGCACTATTAAAAATATGGATATGGGTGCTCATAAAATGCTGTAGATACTGAATGATACAGAGTTGATCAGATAGCCGTAACTCATCATTCATAGATAATTTTGTTGTGTTTTCCTTTAATCCGCGTCTAATCGAGTACAGCATAATACATTATTTTCCTGGACTTAAAATGTTGTGTCGTTTTAAAGTTGTATACGCACGGCAGTCAATTATACCGACCGTCATCCAGACGAACAGACTTTAATAAAATTATTATTTTTTAGAGCAATTTTCTATCTACATAATATATTAATTATGTATGCATTGTGCATACGTTTTGTGAACAAGTGGAGTGAAAACAGTATATCAGGAAAAAAATATAATAATGTCTATATTTTACAATAATAATATATTCTAGGAAATGTTAATCGACCGAAGGTTATTGCCTATTGGAGTGAAAAATTATTTTCGAACTGCTTTAAACCGATTTTATTTATTTTTTTTTTTGAGTTATATAAAAAAATAAATATTAATTATGATTAAATGTTTAAAAATTGTTAAATGGACTTTACTAGTTACTTCTGCAGTTATTTAATAATTTACTTTTGAATTTGTGATGTAGTTTTAATATCATTATCCCCGGTCAGCAACCGCTTGAGAAATCATTCATGGAGTACTCTCCAATTAAATCGTATTATATTTATTATTTATGAATCAAATAACAATTTTAATCAATGATCGTTGGTGAATTGGGGACATAATTAATTCGACTAGTAAATAGAAGGTTTTGATAAAATTCATTTAACTTATTAGTTAACAGAGTACCTACATCATAATTTTTTGAATATACATAAGTATATGTGTTCCAATGGACAACGAAAGCGTATATGGTTTGGGTTGCTACAGCTTATTTATATTATTCAAACGCTTAAATTGAGGTGTGGTTAATACTAGCTATATATATAATGTGTTTGTATGTGTATCGTGTATGTGTGTTGTACTTCTTTGAATTTTTCTCGCACACGACATATTTTTTTCGTCCCTGACAGAGATATTTTTTTCACACGTGCGTCGCGTTAGATATTCGTTCCAGCCAAAGAACATATATACGAGTATTCATAGGTCTCGTGTTGGTCTCTCGCGGTATATAATATAGCATGGTGACGGTTTTATTCTTCTCTGACGTTTGCGAAGTTATAACGTGACAGGAAAAATAACTTTTAACAAATGACACTAGTAAGTAATATTATCCTAAGATGCTCGTGTTTTCTTTGTTGACGAACAGATATACGAGAATTGCGCACTTTCATTATTATCAGTAGAATGTAGATATAGGTGTACATGTGACGTGTTATGTATTTAATAACTTTTTCTAAGACGTTTGATTTGAGTTCTGCAGACTTTGGAACGTTAAAAATAAACACAATTTAAATTATTATCAATTTATCATTGTTTTTGCACAATATATCACAACTGCTCAGTGCAAAAAATTAAAAATATATGTTCTCTTACTGTTTCAAATATTATTTCTTAGTAATATAATTTTACAAAATATTTTACGGAAACACGTAACAGCAATAACAGTTTATCATTTGTAGTATATTAATATTAAGTTTAATATGTTTTTAAATATACATTAAAGTGTTCTTACATTATGTTTTTTGGTTGATTATTTTGGTTATGATTTTTCATGGGTATATTATACAGAGTAATACATTAAGCATGCTTACCCCCAATATTTTTCTTTTATAATGAACTAATTTCAGTTTTTGGAGTTTTTAAATATACTTAAAGACTTTATTTTTAAATTTTTCGAAATCTTTTGAGATTTTTTGAGTGTTTTGTGGCAATACAAACTTTAAAAAGATAACTTTCTTTTTACTGCAGATTATTAAATGAATTGTTTTTTTTTTTTTTTTTGGAAATGTTGATGTATCTAATTCAAATTTTGAACGAGTAGCTTCTCAATTTTTAAAATATTTACACTAAGAATAATAATCTTTAAAAATAATTTTATTTATAGAAAAAGTATCCATTAAATAATTAACAGTACAAAATGAGGGTTGTTATTTGAAAAATAGAAGTTTGTATCTCCAAATATTCTCTTTAAGTAATATAAAAAATCTCAAGAATTTTAAAATATGATGTTTTAGTAGATATAAAATATCCATTGTTAAATTCTGAATAAAATTGCATTATTGAAGAAAAAAAAGAGGGTAAGCATGTTTGGTGAATCATTCTACGAGTATATACTACGTTTAAAATAATGTTAATAATATTATAAATCTCTGGCAGTATTATTAAAAATTATAAATCACTATACTGTAAATTAATTTTAAGCTAAAAATATAATAAAACAAATATTAACGATGAGTAATGGCAAATATTTATTATAATATTCATCAATGCTTAACAACGATTGTCAATAAAACTGAATTTCAAAAATGCAATACAAATGCCAGCGACAGTCAATATTAGTTAAACCTTATAATTTTATTTTTTTTCTCTGTGTGAGTTTCAGACAATATTTTATTATGTAAATTAAAAAAAAAATACCATTTATTTGTTTTAAACTTATGATATTGTAAAAATAATATTTCAATAAATATGTTAATATTATTATTCATAATACATCAATTAAAACTAGCATCGATAGACGATAATGACTTATTACTACAGAGTATGTGAATCTAAATTATACTATACATTACGTAATATGATGTATCATTATAAAATATGACAAAATAATATTACAATATACGTTTAATATTGTTTATGAAAAAAAATAATAATAATTGATGCTAGATATAAACAGGTATTAAAATTTTCATTTTTAGTTATTGATTTTGCTTTTATTTAAAAAAAAAAGTAATATTTGATAAATTAGTTGACAGATGCACACTTAGAGGATAAAAAAAATCCAATGAATTTTGATATTTTAACATAAGCAGATTAAAATAACGGTTTTATATTTTAAATTGTACATACAATATAAATATAATATTAAATATTTATTTAGTATATATCTATGATTAGGGTGGATTTTTTGACATTAGAGCAAAACCCATATCAACGCCGAGCATGTGTCTATCGTCATAGTCACGCCATACTACATTTTATTTGTACATGGATAATTCCCAAAACATGTTCATGCATACATTTGGCGGAAACGATTAATATTAATTTAGCGGAAACGGTATACGCCCATCAAATACGATAGAACAGTGAAATCGTTATACAGCGCATTTGACCGGCTGTGATTGACTCAACTCTTAGGAAGCACCATATCGGTTTTGATACAATTATCACATTCATTTAGGCCTGAAATAATTCTGCGTAGGTTTCTATTTTTCCGAATGAAATTTAATTTAAAAAAAAAAAAGATTGATATTTTATGTCGACAGGAATCACTCTAAACTGCAATTATTTATTAACTCATTATTTTAAATTTTTCGTTCTAGTTAAAAAAAAATAATATATTATTTCATTTATAATTTTCATTAATTTTTTATTTTATCTAACTTATGCAATTTTAACGGTCTTAATTTTTTACTGAGATTTATATTAACAGTATATTTCGTATAATATTAAGAAACCTTAAAGTTGTCAAATATTATCAGTATAGCAATAGGTACCTATTGTTATAACGTGTTATAAGTTATGACATTAATAATGTATTTGAAAAAAATATAGCAGTCGTCAAGTACGCAATATGCTTATCTGCTATCAACTTTTACTATCTACTTTTTTTTATTTATTTAAATATAAAACTGAATATACTATAATCAAAAGTATAAATCATTAAAATATAATTCATAAATTGTGAAAATAATATTATGTATTTTTACTTCAGTAAGAACTGTTATTTCTTTTATTCTTGACTAGTATGATCAAGAAACTCTTTCTTAAAAATGAAATAAATTCGATTTGGGACAAAGAATGCATATTCATAACTAAATAGACAGTAAACATAAATATATTCATAAAATATTTAACCATTTAAAATTTTTCATTGATTTAAAAATAATAAGAATTCATTAGCAAAAGATAAACATATTATAATAATTGATATCGATATTATGTAATAATAATTTTTATTTTAAAAAATGGCGTTTATTTTCTAGGTACACTAAATTGAAAATAAATTGAACAAAGAAAAGTGGAAAATACTTTTTCAAAATAGTAAAACATATTTATTTTTAACGACTTGAAAAAAATCGTTTTTCCATCAAAAAATTATTATTAATGTTTTTAACAATTTCTAAAATTATATAGAATTACATTTTTAAGTGTTCTTAATTTGTTTATATCTATAATTTTAAACAAAGTTTGGTTTTATATGTTTGACATAATATTGTGTTTAAAGATAAAAGTTATTGATTACAGATTGATGTATAGATTTTTTGCTGGACCGATACCAAAATTTCAAGTTTTCGTTCGATTAGTTTTAGTAGGTATAGGATAATTATTGAAATCATAAGGTAGGTATAGTCAACTCGCTCCACTTTTCTTGATCCAAAAGTTTCACAAATAGAAAGATTATATATGGGATTTGCCAATATTTTCTATATTTTCTTTTATAAGATTGCAAAAAACTTTTGGAAATATCGGACCACATGAGTTAGATTCCCGCTAGAGAGGAAAACTTTTTGAATTATTTCACAACTTTTCAATAATCCTCAATACTTGAAACTTTCTTCGATTACCTATTTATTTTAAAAGCAATATTTTTTAAAAAAGCGCTGACCAAATTCAGGCACCATAAAAATATTGAAATTCATAACAATAAATCTTTACTCTTTGGCCTTTTCTAAAGTTTTTACGCTACGAAGATGTAAATAGAAATAATAAAATATGTATGCATACCTACTATTTTCTTTGTCACTTTGTCCATCTATCCATCATGGTTATCAATGTCATTCTCAATGGTATTGTTGATATTGTATACAAATAACAAATATACTGTAAAACGATATTATATTTTTTGGACTATACACTCAATGGTATTATATTTAATAATTTATTATCTTGAACACAATTTTTGTATTAACTTGAAATTTTCTACCTTACTAATATTTTGAACACTTATTAAGCTATGTTATACATATGATTATTTGTATACAACTATAACGTCTTATTTAAATACATTTTTATCATCAATATTGGTTATGTCATCTTTAATTTTCAACATATTGAGTTTAATTACAGGAAATGAAACATAATATTCACCATGGCCTTTATGGGTTATATCTCATTTTAAACTCATAAATAACGCATATAATTTATAAAGTTCGCTACAGGTCGTATAAAATAGCAACTAGTAAGTGTGATTTTCCTTACCTGTTAATAAAGAAAATTAAATTAACTTTGAAGACTTGTAAACTAATCTAATGTTAATTTGTTATTATATGGTATACATATATAATCTTGCTTTATTAAAAACTATTTTATAAACATATTCAATCAAAATTGATTTTGTTAGCGTCGAGATTGCAGTAAAGAGTTTGCAGCATATTAACTTCCACTAAGTGTTACGATTGTGTTTTTATTTCACTTTCGACAAAACATTTGCGTTGATTAATTATTGCTTTGTGCAAACATTTAATAATTATATAATGCTACAGTGCTCTGGGGCGAATGAAACCAGTGAACAGTTTATAATATGTTATACTATGCTATTCATTCGTATAGTTTTTTTCAATATAACATACACTGAATGCCTGAATATAATATTGAAATAATGTTTTAAAAAATTAAGATTTCTCTGACATTTAGAACTGAATTAGATTTCTATTTTGCATATAATATGTAAATTATACTAATAAAATATGTGTTATAAAAACATATAAAGACTCTGTTGCAATTTTTTTATACAAGTCAACATTGCAAAAAAATGTTATTAGTCTGAAAACGTATTTAGACTTAAAATTTTTTAAATAATAATGAAACTCATAAAAATTAATCAATTGTTAATTTAAATTACTAAAGAGAAATTGTTTTAATATTTTATTGAAATAGTAAATATATAATATTTTTTTCGAATACGTTATTCTAAACATAAAGCATTTAAAAATCAAGTGAATAAATCTCTAAAATTAAAATTTATTACTACAGTCATTGACTCAGCTTACCAATTGAATTTGTAACTGTTATTATTTGTATTATAATGGTAGGTATTTTTTTCGTTTTAATTTTGATTAACATTATTTCTAATCATACGTTGAGCTACACCAAAAATATTATGGTATAGTTGTATAATAAATGTTATATATTAAACTACTTTATTTGTTGAAAAAATATATAAATGTACCTAAATGACCTTATATTATGATACAATTTGTAACTGTTAAAAAAATACTGAGCTTATAACATTTTTGTATGTCGTATTTCCGCAGAGATATATTTCTGTGTGTCTAATAACACTATTAAAGTTGCACGAGTTTATAATATGTATTTTTTTCTACGTCCGTTTTCTGACGTTCAACTATTAAATCAAGAAAACAGTCACAGATACATCATTTTTTTTTTCACTTCTCTTTGCCTTTGTCACACATCACAGTAATACCAGCGTCGTTAAAATTCTGTTCTCCCCTCCAGTGAAATGACAAGCTGTCATTAGAAACGCTCCAGATGCGCTCCATACATATATGCATATATATATAACTGTGTATGTTCGACAAAAAAGGAGAAAAAAGACACGTACAAAGCTGTAGTATGAAAAACGCCTGAAGGGAAAAGTACAATAATATTATAATATATTATTATATATAATAACAAATTCTTTCTTCGGGTGTGCCACACGATAACGTTATAAATGGTACGCGACTCTTACATATTATATATATATAAAGTATATACATATATGTTTTCGAGAGTGTGTAGAATATTACAATGTGAAGTGCGTTTAATTTTTCTCCCCCTGCTAGGCGTACGGTGGTGGTGGAAGTAGCGGCAGCGGCAGCGAGGTCCTTTAATTGGGCAACCTCTGCACAACGAGAGCCCATTGTATGCAGCGCCTTTCGGACCGCTGCTGGGCGGATGGATATATTATATATGCGTACATACGATATTATAATATATACATTATATATAAACATAAATTACGAAGGCATATATTATAATATTTTTATTATTATTATTATTATTGTATATTATTATGAGTGATTTATGGTCCTAGCGAATAAAATGTATCCGTGCGCAGTCATACATACACATTTTATGCATAAAATAGATGCTACAACAGTAAGGTGTAAAAAGTATTATAGATTCGACTATACTAGATATACCAGCTGTAGTTGAGAAAAGGGAATTGACATAAAAACTTTCAATAGACACTGGCGAATCTGGGTTAAGATTTGAGAGATAAATGCTGGTAAATATTATAACAATTTTCGGTTGACAGAAAGTAAAAATAAAAATAAGAAATATTATATTAATGGGAAAATGTTTGTCCATGTAGAGTGTGGCCTATAATATAACACTAACTATTCCATACATAAATCTCTGATCGCGTATATGTTATATGCATATTTATTACGCGTAGGTCGAAAAGCACTCAATGAACCCTATTGTCGGTCGTTAATTATAAATTACTTCATCATGCACATCCGTCGGCCGAGGAACATTTCGATTTGTATAATGTGTTGAGAAGAAAAATTATAATGATATTATGTTATAACAAATGAATAAATAAATAAATCGAAGTTCATAAATATATACTATACATATACATAATGCTATGTATAATATTGTTATTTTGCCGCCGGATATCGCGTAACCGACAAAATCGAATACGCCGAAAATGTATAATAACGCGTTGTCCGGAATTTCTACATAATGCTATACTGTATTGGAACGGATTTTGGTACGCAAAAAAAAGTGAACGGAAAAGAAGGGAAAAAATTACAATCTGGCAGATGCGCAGATTTGTTTCTGTTATTCTTCTCGTATTACAATTTTAAATGTTCCCCCCTCATATTTATCTATAAATATATAATATATGGCTTCGGTACGTGTGTATGTATTTATAGTGTTGTATACGTGTGTCCAGTCTTGTATGATTCATTACATTTTTGTTATTATTAATAAAAAACAAAAAGCGGTGATTGTGGGGAAATATATATCTATAGGTATATCTCCAGTCGCCACAAACGTACATTTGAGAAGTAAATGATAGAGATCAAGCTAGTCGTGCTTACGGAGGATCGATAAGTGTCACTGAAAAGATATCAATCCTTAATCATCTCTATATTAATGATTTTTTAGTAGTCGTTTTACATTTTTGAATACGTTTGTATGTACCTATGTATAATGGGTATACTATGTATTGCATGGTAATAAAATGTATAACAACTTGATAATATCATCGTATAATAACTGATAAAATATAAGCTGCAGACATCAGCTATATGGTTTTTATTTTTACAAATCTACGATTAACCACTTTTACGGGTATTATAGAGGGAGTGTGCTTTAAAAGTTTCACGTGATTGCCCATCGTCAATACTCAAACGACTGATTGTTAAATGCAAACAGAGACGTTACTTCAAAAAGGCTTGACATTTTTTCCGATATTTTAATCCTTACGTTTAGTATTATATATATAGGTTTTTGAAAATATTTATTTTTCATTTTAAAAACACTATCTCCGGTGTACTTGACGAATCTGTTGCCATATTGGGACGGCAATTCTGTATAGTGGTATAGCTTTTAACGGGCTTTTTCTTGTGTATTATAAAATACGATACTTACAACAGCTGGGGACATCGAAACTGCAACAGTGCGGTATCGTCACCAGTCACCGGGGTATGCAAACATCACGATTGAATGGACGTTGTGGTAGGTGGTAGAAAGTAGGGAGTGAAGCCGTCGATATTATCGTCATTATCTCACGCCTCTTTAGCACGTTTTCGAAACGTGCTTATCTCGAACCACTCAAAATACCGTCCGTCTGTAGCTCGTATAATACGTATATGTATATATTGTGTATATACATCAAGGCTTATATAAATGATATACGGCAAGGGACGCGAGTTGGACACACACACACTAATACATAAATGATATAATACGTTTTACGTACCTATGTATGCGTATACTACCAAAAATAAAGTGGTTTAGAGGATTTCGAGGTTTTTTTATGACATCCGAGACACGTTTCGGCAGTGAGCTTGACGCGGTGTTACAAATGCATGAAATCGTAATTCGATAGACGTTAATTTATTAATCCTCGATAGCCCTGTAAACTTTTTCGTCACTAATCGAATTTTGATTCATATGTAAGTACGCTGTACCTAATACCTAAACAGATATATAACGTACGTATGCTATATTATAATCTTTATTATTGTGAACTGCGATGTTCTTAAACAAATAACGTTCTTTCTGTTTCCTACTACAATCGGCTATTAAAAAACGTTGAGATTCAATTTTTATGGCGGACGGTCTGCTGACGGCGAATTTAAACGTAAAGTATACTTAGCCTAGTTGTAGCTATAAATAGATACCTAGTAACCAGGCGTATATTATGTACTGAAATGTCTAAAATTTTCTCTAAGTGATTAATCATTGCACATTACGGGTGGGCACTACATGCTCCTCGTTAATTTCACACACACACACACATATATACATGTATATGTACAGGTATGTCATTATTTCTATGTATATTTAATATTCCAATCGCCGATTTTTGTATACTGTAGATTTTTAATGTATTACTTGGTATAAGCACATTCGTATATTCGTGTATTTAGTATACCTCATATATGGTTATCAACCTCAAGCTGAATATAAATTATAAACTACTCTTTTTTAATTAATACTGCTTTGTATATTATTTCAAAACTCGTTTATTGCTATTAATTGCATAGCCGCATAAAGGTACCGAGTTAATTTTTTATTCCTTTATCATGTCT